CTCTAAGTTAATCTTATTCATATATATATGTTTGGATCTCTATTTTTCAGGTCCAAATTTTGCTTCAAATGTCCGTGACAAACTGGCTGTAATTAAGATGAAAGTCTAAAATGCTGATTGGACATATTACACATGGGTGATTGAGGCTTGTTAACAATAAGCTTCATTGTAGGGATGTCTGGCGGGACAGAGTTTGAAGGAATCATTACCTTAGTATTTTTAGGTCTTTCCTCTTGGGATGATAGAATCCCCATCAAAGCTTTTTCCAATCTTCTGCCCAGGGGTAAAGACTACCAGCATTCTGAGAGCCAAGCTGTGGAAGAGGGCTGGGAGTTCTCAACATTCAGTGTACATACATTCCCTTGATCTTCCTGTGAAGCTTCTCTGTCTTCAACTCTGCTGGGTGACTCTGTATTTTATTCTCTCTAAAGAATAAACTTTCAGTCTTTTGATGTGGTAGGTGACACTCAGTTGCCTAATAGTACACTGGGTACCTTCTCTAGAAATGGGATTGCTTCTTAAACAGCTTTAGGTAATGCTTATTTAATCCCCTCCCCTTCACCTTTGCTTCCAGTTACTGAGTCTTTTAGAACATCATGAAAAATGCAGATGCTCCCTGACTTACAATGGTTCAGTTTAATGACTTTTTAACTTAATGATTGTGCAAATGCAACATACTGAGTTCGCTCCTCAGAGTAAGAATGGGGTTACATCCAGATACCCATCATAAGTTGATGGATGGATGCCCATCATAAGTTGAGAATATCCTAAATTGAAAATGCGCTTTTCACTTATAACATTTTTAACTTATGATGAGTTTATTGAGACATAGACATATTGTAAGTCAAGGAGCATTTGTATCAGCTTGATTTCTGGTTTAGAATTTGACTTTCTTATTTCTGTAATTCCGTTACCACTTGACCATATGCTTCCCAGCTTCCAAAATTATATTGCTGCTGTGTCCTCTCCTATTCCATCTGTCATTATGGATATACAACTTTGAAAACAATTATTTTACTGTCCTTTTAGATTAATTTTGGATGAAAGTAAATATGTGTGTTTCATCTATATCTTGAACCAGAGATCATTTACCTCACCTATGCAGTCTCAGATGCATGATTTTAAAGTTCACTTCCAAATGTAAAGTTTCATAGTCTTGTTTCACAATAATAAACTTTTTGAAGCCATTCTTTATATTGATGACACTATGTGGGTTTCATGTACAACCCCCAGGGCAGCCCCTACTCTATCAACTCCAGTGAAGAATTATCTGGTCCAATATATGTGATTGTTGTAGAAGTTAAGAAAACCTGAATTTCTCCTTAATTTTAAATTCATGGTTGTATACATTTGTATCTAGTAGTAAACCCTAGTGATTACCTATACGTATTTTATATTAAATGTAAAAGCTCCCAGCTCCAGAAAATTAATAATGGTTAAATAATAGTCATCTATTGAGCACTTTCTATGGTCCAAGCCTAAGATAAAACATATGATTTATGAAATGTCACACTAAATATAAATCCTACAGCAATCCTGAGAAGCAGTGACATAGATTTCTCTAAATGGATAATTATAATAACATTTTATGGCCAGGCACGATGGGTTACACCTGTAATCCCAGCACTTTGGGAGGCCAAAGTGGGAGGATTATCTGAGGTCAGGAGTTCGAGACCAGCCTGGCCAACATGGCAGAACCCCAGCTCTACTAAAAATACAAAAATTAGCTGGGTGTGCTGGCACATGCCTGTAATCTCCGCTACTAGAGAGGCTGAGGCAGGAGAATCACTTGAACCTGTGAAGCAGAGGTTGCAGTAAGCAGAGATTATACCATTGCACTCCAGCCTGGCTGACAAAGTGAGAATCCATCTCAAAAAATAAATAAATAAAATAAAATAAAATTTGACTTTAATAATAGCTGAATATCAGGACAATACACATGTTTTATGATGTTCTTGACTTTAACAACTTGCTATCTTGCAATGTCTATTAAATTCTGCTTTGAAATACTCTCACAATTTCCTCCATTTCTCTTTTCTCCTGCCACCATTACTCTACTTTGGGCCACCACAAATTCTTCTGCATTAGGGAAACACCCTCCTTATTCATCTCCTGCTGTTGGTAGTTACTATGCCCTGTAAACCTGCCATTTTCTTTCTAAAATCTAATTGGGCAATAACATTCTTCTAAACAACATCTCTAAATTGCTCCCCAAGGCCCTCATGATCTGGCTTTGACTCCACTCTATCTCCCTTCACTCCCCCTCACCTTCACAAACAGTGCAATCCTATAATCCCAATAATCATGGTCCAAGGATGTTCATGCTTATAGGAACACTATGATTCCATAATCAAGGTCAAACTGTCAGATTTATTAGTGTTCAACTTGTTTTAATTTGCAGTGCAAGAGAAATTAAAGTCTCAGCTAATGAGTAATGTTCTGTTAATGTGTGGTTGGCAGGTAATTGGAAGAAGAGAGAAGAAAAAGTCATGATTTCCACTGGCGTTCCTTTCCTATGCTGATGTCAAGTGTAGCTCTTATTAAAGCAGGGAGTGATGACAGGAAGAAAAGAAGGCAGTGAATTGCTGCCAGGAGGCCGGTCGGAAAAGTTAGAAAGGGATAAGGAGCCAACAGGGACACTCTCCTTCTGGCTTTGAATGGTTTCTCCCACCTTGGGGAAACATGGCATCTCTCATGACATAACAAAACCTGGAGAGATTACTGGTGGCCCTCCAGAAGGAGTGCTGGCATAATTTGGAAGAGATGAGTCTGTGAACAATCAGATGAACAGCACATGATATGCCTTTTATAGCTTCATAATTTGTGAATGTTTCCAATATAAAAACAAATCAAAGAAAATTCATCAAATAAGTCAGTTTTTAAACTTTGAATACAAATCTAAAACAGCTTTTCTGAGATTTGAAAGGGGCATGAATAAAATGTCCAATAAATCTTCACTAAGTCAGACGAGTTGGCATCCATTTTCTGAATCTGTTCATTAATGCGCAAAATAGTTTTATTTAACTAATAATAATAGGTCTTGGCTGGGCATTGTGGCTCACGCCTGTAATTCCAACACTTTGGGAGGCAGGTGGATCAGCTGAGGTCAGAACTTCGAGACCAGCCTGGCTAACATAGTGAAACCCCATCTCTACTAAAAATAAAAAATTAGCTAGGTGTGGTGGCATGTGCCTGTAATCCCAGCTACTTGGGAGGCTGAGGTAGGAGAATTGCTTGAACCCAGGAGGTGGAAGTTGTAGTGGGCCAAGATCACACCACTGCACTCTAGTCTGGGCGACAGAGTAAGACTCCATCTCAAAAAAAAAAAAAAAAAAAAAAAAAAAATATATATATATATATATACACACATATATATGTGTGTGTGTGTGTATACATATATATATGTGTATATATATATATATATATATATATATATATATATTTATAGTTCCTACGATAAACTTTAGAAAACACACAATAAAATGATTTTACATTCAGGAACATGTATTTTTGTATATATAAAGTACTAAATACTTGATCAATAACTCTTTCATGAGAATCTTTTCCTTGCTAGATTCTGTGTTAAACAGTGAAGGTATCATTCTTACGTTTAACTTGCCTGCAGTTCTGACAACATAACTGCATCTCCTCTATGGCTCTACCATGTCTCATCTTCACAATGCAAATACGTCTTATAAATTTGGTTGATGTTATAGAGTCAATGTTTTTTAAAAAATAGGAGTTCTCCTTAAAGGGTACCTGAATGATTTCTGACATACAGTTTAGCGTATTATGCATATAGCACCTAATGGTTCATTTGAGAAATTTAGAGACAGTACTTTTACTATTTCCATTCATATGTAATTTTGAATTTAACCTTAAAAGTAAGGTGCAATTTCTTCACTATATTGTTAAGAGAGTTGGCAGGTAGAAAAGATGAGATGCTGAAGAAACATGGTTCCTTTCCTTAAGGAACATGCAAAACTCTAATGTTCAAGTGATTAACTGTACCTGTCAAAATAAGCATTTGGGATGGTAAAGAAAATGGAGGTTCATGAGCATAGGAGTTATCAGGAAAGGCTTTGTGAAAAAGCATGGACTGTGAATGATCAACAGGTTTATACTGTGCCCTGCCCTCTAATTGCAGATGGTATCTGGTTAAGCTGTTAGCACTGGCCCTGATCTGGCAGAGCAGCCTCCTGTGTGTATTCAGACTGCAGAGCCCTTGGCTAAACTGAGATCTGTTTACCAGAAGGGCAGAGAGCTAGAGGAGATGGTTATAGACGAGGCCATAAAGAAAGAGTCCAGTATTAAGCCATCACTCAGGAAATCTGAGTCAAAGTGCTAAAGCAGGTAGAACTTTAGAGAAACAAAAAATGAGTCAAAACAGAGCAAAAAGACAGCAGTGAGATACAAGGAGATCAACCCTTGGTTTCAACAGATTTCCGGAAGCAAAAATTTACTGTGGCAGTCCACTCATGCGGTTTAGTATGCCTTTCTGGCCTAGGGCTAATCCTTAAAAGTAATTTCAAGTGTACCAAGAAGAAAAGAGTTGCAGGCAAACAGAAATCTTGACTCCTACAGATGCAAAAATGGCCTTGGCATAATCTAAGGAGAGAGTCCTTGGCACATGATAATATTATGGGGTGGATATGTGGTGCCAGATCCAGTGAGACTATGTGGAGCAGAAGTAGAAATATTGTTAGAGCAAAAGGGCTACGCCAGGTGGCAGAGGTTTTGAAAGCCAGGCAAGCGAGTTTGGCTGAGATGTTGTAAGAGAGGTTAAAGTTGGCTAAAATATTCTTTTTATCACACTTTCCTAAAAGACAATCCAAATGTAACTTGGCCAGAAAAAAAGGTCACAAATAATAATAGCAAAGGTCAAACTTTTATCTTATTATAATTAAACATATATTATTTACATAGATCATATTATTTACATTTCTGTAATATATACAGTTATTATAGAGAGTATATTGTTCTCTAACTCTCATTTTTAGCTCCATGGAATAACATTTCTAACTAGAAACTATTGTCTGACAGAACTATATCTAAACAACAATGCAATCTTTGAGATACAAGGTATGTCTTAAATTTTCTGTTGATTTAATAGATTTTCTATTAAGTAATAACTTTTAACTATGGTAATTGCTAATGACATACAAAAATCAGTTTTAACATTTCTCTTGAAATATATTATGAAATCTATTTTTCAAATGTTTTAATGTACATTTTATTTTAAGAAATGTGCTATTAGATTACTTTTCTAATTTAATATTGCTATATGTCTTATTCAAAGTGTAAAATAATTCTTAACAGTTATTTCAGATATAAACTAGACATATGGAAGCAAATTTTAACAATAGTTGGGAGCATTAATAAATACAAAAACTTCATAAATAGTCTTAAAAATTTTTATTGGCTATTGTTCTACCAAATTCCTGCTTTCACTCTGAGTTAATTTTATATGTAACACACTCTCAAAATTTATCACTTCAAGCCAATTATAAAAGCATATAGCACACTATGATCATGAAACATGGAGGTACAGTACAAAACACTTTTCTTTAATACCATATCATAGAATCAAAATGTCATAAATTTTAAGGCCCATCATGATTTCATGCACCACTAAGAAAGAACATCTTGCCAATGAAGCTATGACATGGCTATCAAAAAGACACATCCCATTTTCATTTACGTTAAAAATGTGGGAAAATATACAAGTTAGAATCAATGAAAATGATATGAATATTTGGCTTCCAGTTATATACAAAAATACTTTGCTAAGCAATATGGAGGAAATTTTTCCCTTGACTGGCCTTATAAATCTAAGTAAGATTGACAAGGAAAAAAAACCCTCAAAACTAAACAAAAAGAAGAAAGAAAATAACCCCTCCAAAATCAATCAAGCAAACAAAATCATTGCTGTTTTAAGAAGTAAAATAAAAACAGTGGAAAGAAATTTACTCTATATTCCCACTTTGAAATTAATTGTATGACTTATACCTTACTGTATTCTTCATAATAATTTATAATATATTATTAGTATGTATTTATTTTTTAACTAGCAATCATGTTTTCCTTTTTAGTTAGTATGTTGGCATTAAAAATGTTTATTTTTATTTGCAGTAGAAAAAAATGCTTAAAATCTTGTAAAAAATTTTGGGTTTTTTTTTTAGGCCTGCATTATTTGCCTTCATTGCATATACTCCTGCTACACCACAATGAGTTAACCAACCTTGATGCGACAGTGAAGGAATTAAAGGGAATGCTAAATCTGAAGATCCTAAGTAACAATTTGCACTTTTATATGGCCGTAAATTAAAATAGTATTAACATAAGACATTTTTTCCATTTATCAAGTTTAAAATTAGAGGAGCAACGTTTTTACAGTTAATATATTGAGACTGGGCACTGTGACTCACGCCTGTAATCCCAACTCTTTGTCAGGCCAAGGTGGCCTGATTACTTGAGCCCAAGAGTTCAACACCGGCCCGAGTAACATGGCAAAACTCTGTTTCTACCAAAAATACCAAAATTAGCCAGGCGTGGTGGCACATGACTGTAATTGCAGCTACTCAGGAGGCTGAGGCAGGAGGATCACTTGAGTCCAGGAGGCAGAGATTGCAGTGAGCAGAGATCATGCCACTGGATTCCAGTCTGGGCAACAGTGAGACCCTGTCTAAAAAAAAAAAAAAAAAAATTAAGATATTCCTGAAAATAAGACTAGATCTTACTGTCTTTTAAGACAAGGTTTTGAAAAAACAACAGGTAGAAAAATTTGTGTGTGTGAAATGCTATCTATCACATGTCTAATGAAAACAACAAAAGTAACAAAAGCATTTACATGTTTAAATTTGTTTTTGGTTTTATCTCAAAAGTAAGTTTTAACACATATTATATGAGTCCATTAATATAAGTGCCCAAGTAGGCACATCTATAGAGACAGCAACACTGAGAGATAACTGTTTTTAAATAGATGAGTGTTGCCTAGGGCTAAAGTATTGGGGTTTGTGAAAGCTAGAGGGTGAGGAGTATGGGGTTATTTGGCAGTGATAAAATGTACTAAAATTGACTGTGGTGATAAGTTGCATAACTGTGAATATTCCACAAACACATGAATTGTATGTTTAAAATGGGTGAATTGTGTAGTACATGAAGTATATTAATTAAGCTGATAACAAAAAAATAAACAAATAAATAAAAACAAATACTTTTTAAGCTTTCAACTGGGTAACCAGCAAACTTTAATCATATATGTTGAATCACACCCAGTAAGGAACTGACCTATTGGAAAGCAATGTGAAATGAGTCAAAAAATAAAAATAAAAATAGCCAGACACGTTGGCTCACACCTGTAATCCTAGCACTTTGAGAGTCTGAGGTGAGTGAATCACAAGGTCAGGATTTCAAGACCAGCCTGGCCAACATGGTAAAACCCCATCTCGACTAAACATATAAAAATTAGCCGGGTGTGGTCTACTCGGGAAGCTGAGGCAGGAGAATCCTTTGAACCCAGGAGGTGGAGGTTGCAGTGAACTGAGATCGCGCCATTGCACTCCACCCTGAGCGACAGGGAGAGACTGTCTCAAAAATAATAATAATAATAATAATAATAATAATAATAATAATAATATACCACTCCTACTCTCACAAAGCTTATGATCTTGAGGGGTAAATAAACATGTATACAACCACAATACAAGATAAAGGATTCTGGGTACTAAAGGTAAAAGACCTGCAGATCAATGAGTAGGATTTCAGACTTTAGAGTTTAGAGACCTCTTTATATAATGTAATGCAATAGATTTTTTTAAAAATTCCTTTTCTATTTATTTCTCAGATTTGCCTGAGACAGTGTTTTGAATAGCTGTAAACTACTATTGATGGTGAAGGTTCTAATCAGATCAATATAGAGAGTTACTAAGGTTTCCATATATTTTCAGTGTTACTGGTTACGTATTTTCAGTGTTACTGGTTATATATCGGTTTCCATATATTTTCAGTGATATCTACTGTAATGAGGGAAAATGATTCACTTGTTATAGTTAGATTCTTTAAACCCAACTATTAAAATCACAAAATTACACCAAGTTCATGGCAATTTTATGCTTATTTTAGAGACATGATAAGACTGCCTGCTGTCAGGAGATTTTCACAGGTTTTCGATCTTCTGTGAAAGAATTGGCCTGCGTATTTGAGTTACCTGGCCCTTGTCTGCTGAAAAAAATGCTGCTATAATTAAAAGTCTAGTCATGCTAGACATAGATCTCTTACCTTTGTTTTTCTATAAAATGAGCTGAAAGCTACCTCTCAGGGTTCCTTCAAACATTAAGATAACTCTGTAAACACTTTTTAAGGAAACATTTCTCATCATTAATGTTATTTTGGAGCAACAACAAAAATTGAAATTTAAAAAAAAGAAAAAAATTGTTTTATTGTGAATTATGTAAATCAGATCATGAAATAAGTTGCATCCAGTCTTGAAATTCTCAAGAAAACATAACTGATATTTTAAATAATAATCACATGGTGACATGTTTGAATGTCTTTCCTGGTGAAACACATGTTTTATTGTATTCTCATTTAAATCTTTATAGCATCCTATGACGTGATTAGAATTATGCCCTCTTCAATCATAGAAATGCAAAGCTCAGAGATTTAACCATACTCTTAAGGGATGGTGAAACATTAACTCATGTCTTATTTTACTTATCATTTATTCATTTATTCCATTCATTCAATTCATTCAATAAATATTTATAATTCATTCATTTAATAAATGTTTATCACACATTCACTATATGACACTGTACTAGAAATAGGACTCAAAGTTGAGCAAGAAAGACCCAGTCTATACCTATATAGGGCTTACAAATGTATAACTTTCAGCCTAAATATTTCTTAAGAGAGTTGAAGGAGTTTGATGCAAAATGATTTAATTTGCTATTTCAAAAACTCGATAATTTTGTTATAAAACAACATTTGGAGAGTAGTAAATAAGCTTGCTCGCACAGTAATAAGCAGGGTTATGCCCATAGTAATAAACAGGGTTATGCCCTAAACAAAGGTGCCCAGCCCAGGACCAAATGGATCCTGAAATCCAGCCCATTCCCTACTTGTCAAGGGTGTCATGTGAGCACAGAATTGTGCCAGGCATGAGGGGTGGGAGCAGATTTTTCTAGTTTTTAAATAAATACCAGCCTGGTAGTATAATGTCCATATCATTACCTGTCACAGCAGTTTACGACCACTACTTAAAATCATAGTGACATATTTCAAGTTGTATAACTATAATTTTCCAGTTGAGAATCTTATTGTGGGGTCATTTGTTTGAAATGGAGAAAATTCTCTGTCAAATTACAAAAAACAAAAAGCATTTTCTGAAAGTTCACATTTTGAACACATGTCCCATCTTGGTTAAAGATATTGTATGAAAAATACTTTGTATTTATTAGACAACTAATGTTATTTGTGCAGTCATGTTCTCAGATTGACTTTCTATGAGCCTCATTTGCAATTATAGATTAGTTTCAGCTCATTAATATGAGAAATCCGTGTATTTTAGATTGTTGTCATTTTTGTCTTTTTAGGTTGTAAATTCATATGAAAATATAAAGTGTTGTTATTAATCCTCTTAAATTACAAGTTCTTCAGAGGGTGAGAAAATAGCCTGAAGGATAAAATGCTAATCCATTCTCAGCATTGCACCCTCCGTTGGCATTTATGAGGAGAATTGCCAAGGATTGCCTAAGAGACTCATGGCTGAGAGCTTTAGGGAGGCCTAAACCAGCTGCAGAGTGTGAGGTCCTGGGAACTGGAATTCCTGTCTTCCGGGGCAGAGTCAGGGGGCCCCACTTCTTGTCTCCAGGCAGTCTACCTTTCCACACCCTCCCTTTCCAGCTCTGTTTTCCTTGTCTCTTCCCTCCTCCAAACCCTTTCTAAATCAGAATCCACACATGTCAAAGACCCACTTTGTGGCTGACGGCTTTCATGAACTCCTCCCCCATTTCTAGTACTAAGTGAAAAAACCACCACCACCAAAACCCGCAGCAACAACATGCTTAATCCATTCTCCTGTTCTAAACCTTCAGTTTCCTCATTTCTCTCTAATTTTCTGTTTTATTAAGCTCCACTGTTGGAAAGCATGCATAAGACTCCTGCATGCCATAATTGCTAAGACCTGCTTCCTACCAGAGCTTCCAGGAATCAGCATTGGGAACAGGGAGCTCCTCCTTTCGAGAGAGGGTCTCCATGTTTCCACAGGTATTGCTTTCAAACGTTGTTTGCCTTTCTCTTTAGCAGTGGCCCCAATCCACTGCCGATGGCAAAAGTCACGGGTGTAGGGGGATGCTGGGAAATGGGGTGGGACTAGGATCTTCAGTGTCTCCTCCTTTGAGCCTCTCCTACAATGCCCTTCCAGGTGGGACCACCTCTCCCAAAAGACAAACCAATCCACCAAAGAAAAAGAACCAACAATGTTTTTCACCCCTGTTTGTCCTGAAAAAGGGAATGTTCTGATCCCTCCTCTCTCGATCCTCTGCTCTATCCCAGTTTGCCTTTTACAATCAGGGTTGATTTCCATGTTCAGTAAAAAGCACATGGTGTGTGGTGGCCCCCAGATTTTTAGTAAAAACAAGTTGATAATTAACAATGGAGATGCTAACCTTACTACGTAACCTTGACCCAGAGCCTCACAATCCTGGCATCTCGTTATTGACAGCTGCACTTTCTTCCACAGGCTGTTCTCTGTAGGCTTTTAACATTCTCCATATCATTTTCTTTTCCCCATGTATTAAAACTGGGATGTTGGTCCTTTATTAATTATGTCAACTGTCTTCAAAGGCAGTCTTAAAAGCATGGGGGTTCATTTAAATAACAATTTTTAATTCTGCTTTAAAAGTTTACAAAAAAAATAACTGGAGCCAGTTATTTAGATGTCTTTTTTTTTTTTTTCCTCTTCTGTCTCAATAATAAGTAGCTTCATACACGTGACTCACGTAAGTCAAGCTTGTGTGGTAAGGTAGTAGAGACATTTTGGTATATCATTGTGTAAATGTAAATTGCTTAGACTCAGAATCCCAAATTAAGATAAGCAAGACAGTGCTGGCGCCACTGAGGTGTACTCTCTAAGTAGCCTAGAGGGAAGGTGGATTAAATAGTATTAACCTATTGAAAGTGAAAGTGTAAGCAATTTCACTTCATAGTTTCTAAAAGAATGTGCCCATACATCATAGAAGGCTTTCAGAACATTCAGACACAGGAAACCAATTTCACCTCTTAGACATTTAATTTATAGCGATTTTAGTAGCATCAAGCCAAAACTCATAAATCCAAAATGTTAAATGTTTAATAGTATAGAAGGAAAAAAGAGTTAAAAATAAGATTGCTTCCTTCTAAAATTTAAGATCTGGGAAATAGTGAATAATAACGATGAAATGCCTTTCAAGTTATTTAATTCAATTTTTTGAAGTTAATTCAAACAGAGGCTGGGCTAACAGCTCAGTTTTCTGATTTTGTGTCACTCAGTTTTTACTTTAGGATGAAATGAATGGTCAGCCACAAGTCAATAGTGTTTTTAGTATCAATATGTTGTTAATAAGTAATGGAACAGTCGTAAATCTAAGTTTGGTGTTTTATTTAGCTGAAGCTAGGTTTTGGATTTCCATATAGAAGTTACTTCACCAAGGATTAGCAGAAAAAGCCAAGAAATGAAATGAAATGGATAGTTACATCCTCAGAGGGAAAAGAAGACGAAGGGTATACCTAGAAAAAACATCATTGAAAGATGTTGGTACATTTTCCATTAACATCATATGTAAAGGCCTACACTACTTCCAGATGCTATAATGTATAACAGGGTTATGAGGTGTCAGATGTCATTCCCCAAGACAGTAACCACAAAGCAGACTGCTGTACTAAAGCATTTGTGACTTTTTCTTCCTCCTAAGTTCTCATTAAAAACAATTGTGCTTTGCTTTTAATCCTTGAAGGGTTTCCTTTGCTTTACTTTCTCTGGCTCAAACTGCAATTCATGATCCCTGTGGCTCTTTTAAAATCTATCCTTATTACTGGTTTAATATACATATGTTCTATTCCCTATCCTGCAGTTATAATTATTTGTTACCACTATAAAATCCTTCTAAGAATAAAAATAAAATTCAGTCCATTTTCTATCTCTTAAGAAATCTTGAAAAAGAAAATTTTTTTTTTTGTCTTCTCATTTTCTCCATTACATACATATTTCCTTTCTTTTAAATTTTTTTTGTGACTCCTGGCTCTACATTTTCCTTTATACCTTTCCTCACTCCTATAACTTTAGTTTATTATGCACCAGGTGTCTTCCATTGCCTGCTTTATGTCCCTCTAAAGCTTGTTTTTTACACAGGGAATAGCTATATATAATGCTTTTATTGGCCAAAAAAAAAATTGCGTGTATACAACAAATATCAGGATGTTTTATTACTACAGAAAAAACATCTGGATTATTGACTTTTTTTTGAGTTTTTATCTAGTTTGCTACCTTTAAGCATGCAACCACCCCAATCTTATTTGTTACAAACTGCTCTTCATTAATATTAATCACATTTTTTTAGCATTTCTAATGCTTACTATTTTCATGCCTTTATCAAACCTCTTTTTTATGATTAATCTACAACAGTACTCTTAAATAACAAGTATATTAAGTGAGCTTCATTTTGTTGAGGGAAGTAGTTGTGCAGCTGGAGCTCTTTCTATTACTGCCATCTAGTGGTTCTCCTTATTAGATGTATTTTCCCAAGTATTTCCTAGAAATTTTATGTGAGTTGACAGAATTCAAAAAACTAAAGATTCCTGGCCAGCCGGGCTCGTGGCTCAAGCCTGTAATCCCAGCACTTTGGGAGGCCAAGGTTGCGGGAGGCGGGGTGAGGGGATAGGATCTCGAGGTCAGGAGTTGGCCTCCCTATGTTGGCCAGGCTGGTCAAAAGTTCGAGACCAGCGTGGCCTACATAGGGAAACCCCGTCTACTAAAAATACAAAAGTTAGTACGGCGTGGTGGCAGGTGACTGTAATCCCAGCTTCTCGAGAGGCTAAGGCAGGAGAATCGCTTGAACCTGGAAAGTGGAGGTTGTGGTGAACCAAGATCGTGCCATTGCACTCCAGCCTGGGCGACAAGAGCAAGACTCTGTCTCAAAAGAAAAAAAAAAAAAAAAAAGACGCCCAGATGAAAAATTATAAAAGTTTTATTTCATGTTGTGTTAAAAAAAAAAGTTTATTATCATCTAGGATGAATAGGGAAAATATCTTTTTTTGAAAAAAAAAATAAAGCCATTACAACTTCTAGTTGAAGATGTTTAAAAACATACCTATGTGCTGATTCCTAAGGGATATGATGTCAGAGGTGCCAGGGCTGCTTCTGCATCCACATGCCTCCCTCTTCCAACCACTGCATTAGGAAGTGCGGTTTATTGCAAAAGCTAGCACCTGCACACCAGGATCTCAGAGCTGCACGTACCTGGCCAGAGGTAGACAAGATGCAAGAGCCACATCTGCTCAGCTCTGGTCCTGCTGAGCTCTGAAGCTAATATTGACCATTTTGAACTATGAGCAATGGTGTAGAGGCAGTAAATTGTATTAGAGCAAGGTGCTGTGTCTCTGCCTATCTTCACACATGCACCCTTGTAAACTTGAAGACTGAAAGAAGAGTACCAAGTGATATTTTAATAAAAAGTAGCCTCAAGACTTCAATAGAGCTGATATCTAGTTTTCCATTTACTAATTTATTTATGAACATGTTAAAATTTCCCTTATTTTTGGCAGATTTGGGTTAATGATATAATCCTAGCCCTTAGCACAGTTCCTAGTAGATAGTAAGCACTTGGCAAACATTTGTTGAATACATGAATTTAACACATAGAAAAATTAACTGCTGCTCTAAGTGAAGGTTTAATAAGTCTATTGCTTGATGTGAAGAAGAGCTTTACAAGTTTTTAGGTTTTACATGAATCTTGCAATTTCTTGTATTTTATAGGTGATAAATGAAACTAATTTTGAAATCTGACATCTTATTTTGGATTCTTCATTTGCAGGTCTATACCAAAACCCTTTGTGCCAATATAACCTGTATCGTTTATATATCATCTACCACCTTCCAGGAGTGGAGCTGCTTGACCGAAAACGTAAGGACCCTTCTTTCTTGCAAAGAAATATTTGGGAAGCAGTCTCATACCTCAGTGGTTTAAAGATGAAGACTACCTTTGAAAATACATCTTTGTGGCCAGGCTCGGTGGCTCAAGCCTGTAATCCCAGCACTTTGGGAGGCCGAGGTGGGTGGATCATGAGGTCAAGAGATCGAGACCATCCTGATCAACATGGTGAAACCCTGTCTCTACTAAAAATACAAAAAAATTAGGTGGGCATGGTAGCATGTGCCTGTAATCCCAGCTACTCAGGAGGCTGAGGCAGGAGAATTGCCTGAACCCAGGAGGCGGAGGTTGCGGTGAGCCAAGATCGCGCCATTGCACTCCAGCCTGGGTAAAAAGAGCGATACTCCATCTCAAAAAAAAAAAAAAAAAAAAAAAAAAAAAAAAACCTCTTTGTGAAAAAACAAAAACAAACAAAAAAAACCTTTGAATAATTGTCTTTGTAAATGAAAGTTTTTCAATTATTTATTTTTGAAAGATCTGCTCTCTGACATTTGCCCTAATTTAGAAATTCATGTCTCTCTTTTACTTTATTAGAAAGGCCCTCTAACTGAGCATGAGGAAAGTGTTCCTTCTCATCCTGGTTTTGACATTAACCTGTTCAAAGCCAAATCATTTACCTCCTGGCACCCTAGTTTCTTATCTCAAAAGTGAGGGAATTTGAATAAATCTCATAAGGCGTATTTAAGTTCTAAAAGTCATGCTTTTTAAAATTCTGTAAATATATATATTGAAACATATAATCAATGATTTCTTTTTGAATGTATCTTCAAGATAGCATGTCTGACTTCTGTAAGCTGCATGGACACACACACAACCAACCTCAGCATATTACACTTAAACATTTTTTGAGACCTATTTTGCCAAGTGCTATATTATCTATCTACTTACCTTTCTGTCTCCACAGGTTTGAACACTCTTAGTTTATTACTGAGTAACCACTTTCTATGGGATACATCAGAAACTTATGGTTATACCTCTTCTTTCTAATGGACTTGAGAAAATGAAAGGATGTATCATGCTAAAATTTTAATCATCCATGGTGATGTGTTAGTAGGTGTTTGGGATGCATTAGACTGCAGGATTAAGCTCTGCCTTGTGACATGGGGGTTGTATATTGCTTATAAGGTTATGGAAATAACTGTGATAACCCCTTTACAAAACAATTTTGACAGGATGTTCACCTGTAACATGGTTCAGATAAATACATTCTGGGAAGTGTCCATTCTGTTTTGAATCACTCTGCCTATTTATAATGCTATGCAGTAACATTACTTTTTGCATTTATCAGAAGTTACAGAAAAAGAAAGAAGATCAATGATTACCATTTTTAACCATAAAAAGGCTCATATTGTTCAATCGATAGCATTCGGAGGAAAAGTAGATGCTTCATGGGATCCTAAATCACCATTTAAGCAAAAACCAACCCAGAGAGTACCTTCAGGTATTTTGCCAAAAAAAAAAGTTATGAAATTTAAAACTCTTCAAACTTTTGGGTAATTTGATTATAATAATAACAACTACAATTTACAATAAAGTTAAGTATCTATATAATGGAATAATTTCTAATATATTTGCTAACTTTACAATACTTTTAGTCCAGTTAAAGTAGGTGTTCAATTTTCATCCTCACTCATGCATGTTAAATTAAATGAGGTGCTGTGATAATAATGTGATAATACATTGAAGCCTCTACTCCATTATCTAACACAGTATAAAAAGCTCAATAAATAAGCTATCATTATTTTTATTGTGACTAACATGGATGATTTTACCAATTAAGGTTATATAATTTCTGACAACATAGAAAAAATATGAAGAAAAAATAAAGATCATCTGCAATTCTGCCATTCAGAAATAAATACTGGTAATATTTTGATTATACTCACATACAGGGTCATTATATGCAAGTATAACTTGTATATTTTCAGGATGTTTCATTAGTAGGAATTTAATTTCTTTTTTTTCTTTCTTTTTTTGGAATTTAAGTTCTTATTTGCGACAGAAATGCAAAGAAAAAGAATTGGGATTTAGTTTTCTCAGACAGCAAAGAATACACAGATAGGGTGTCTAGGGTTAGTGTAAAGTTCTATAATGTCGTCAGTGAGCAAGGGTCCATCTGTCTTTTGTTCTGCTACTGTTAGTGTGCTTTATGATTACAAAGTGGCTAGTATACCACCAAGCCTCACATCTTCATTCCAGGAAGGAAGAAAGGGTGGATGAAACAAAGATGCAAAGGCGAAATCCTTTTCTTTATGACACTTTACCAAAGAGACAATATAGCTTTCAAAAGAACCAAATCAATTATCTAGAAATAAAGGGGAAATTGAATTGAAAAACAATTTGGAAGAAATTACCCAGAATGCTACATGGAGAAAGAAAGTGATAGATATGAGTTAGATATTGAGAAAAGGAGAGACATTAGAAGGAGAGGGTCCAATAGAGTAGTAGTAATTCCTGAAAAACAAATTATAGAGAGAAATTGAACAGAAGGTAATATTGATGCTTTGCCTCTTTATTTAAGAAGGACAGGTCTTAGAAGAAGACCTGTCCTTCTTAAATAAAGGACTTACACTTCATCTGTCATTTCCAGCTACAGTGTAAATTGGAAAATCAATGTATTGCAGAAGGACTTAAATGTTTCTGTAGCAGACATCATTACATTTCACTCCTGTCAACCTAAAAAAAGACATCAGAGAAAAATATCTCTGAAGATAATGAATTTATTTGGGAGTAAGCACAAAGAATTATAACTCTGGATGTACAGGCAAGCCTCTGCAAGAGAGGAAGGGAATGGAAGGAAGCTTTTTATTTGGAAAAAAGTGGCTGGATGCAATGGCTCACTCCTGTAATCCCAGCACTTTGGGAGACTAAGGCAGGCAGATCATTTGAGGTCAGGAGTTTGAGACCAGCCTGGACAACATGGCAAAAACCAGTCTCTACTAAAAATCCAAAACTTATCCAGGTGTGGTGATGGCATCTATAATTCCAGCTATTTGGGAGGCTGAGGCAGGAGAATTTGCACCTCAGAGGTGGAGGTTGCAGTGAGCCAACATCATGCCACTGTACTCCAGCCTGGGCAACAGAGTGAGACTCCATCTAAAAAAAAAAAAAAAAAAAGAGTTCAAATAAGCCTCTTGGAAGCACAGTTCATTGATTCCACAGGCGCAAAGCCACGACTTCATTGGTGGAGATTCTGTTACTAGGCAAACGTTCTTTTGACAGGATTTTATCTGAATTGTTGAGTCCTAAAGAATGTGTAGTGATAAACCTGGTCATATTAGTGTGTACATACGTGAGAAATGTAGGTCATGACAAATATGAGATGTGTGAAGGGCATGAAAGCATTTATTGCAGGGTTATTTTGGAATACCCTTGAGATAGGTATTACCTCAGACATGCAAGCATAAGCTCTCCTCCTTACTGCCTCAAAACAAACAAACAAAAAACCACATACACATTGAAACAGTTGTATACTATAAAGTAATAACAAAATTAGAATTTTTTAAACAAACAAATCTCTATGTATATGTGTGAGTACATGTGTGACATATAGGCTGGAAACATACAAACAAAAATTTTAATAGTAATATTAATAGTAATAAGAGGAAGTGGAAAGGTTAAAGGGACATTTTCCTTTTTACTCGTTATTTATTGTTTATATTCATTAGAATAAAAATATGTACTTTTTGTAATTAAAAATATAGAAGAGAACAGGAAAATTCTGTCATTTTGACAATATAGATGAAACTGGAGAGCATTATGCTAAGTGAAATAAGACAGACACAGAAGAACAAATACTGCATGATCTCACTTATATATGGAATCTAAAATAGTCGAACTCATAGAAGCAGAGAGTAGAATGGTGGTTTCCAGGTGCTGTGAGGAAGGGGAAATGGGGAGATGTTAATCAAAAGGTACAATGTTTAAATTGTGTTACACAAATGAATAAATTCTGAAGATCTTATGTAATAAGACTACAGTTAGCCATATTGTATGCTTGAAATTTACTAAGAGGGTAGATCTTAAGTGTTCTCACCATGTACACACAAACAATGGCAACTGTCTGGCTGATGACTATGTTAATTATATTGAGTGTGCTAATTATTTCACAATGATCACAATGAATATGTATATTAAAACATCAAGTTGTAAACCTTAAAGACACACAATTTTTTTTTTTTGTCAATTATACCTTAATAAAGCTGGGAGAAAAATATAGAAACAGAAAGAAGCTACAATGATCAGAAACGCACTGAGAGACTTTTATCAGCCACTTGTGAAGGGAACAGTGCCATGAATTCTAAGGCAGAGAGGCTGTGTACTTGCTGCTGCTGTGGAATGGCAAGAGCTCATACAGTGGGCTTTACCGGTGCAACAGGTGCTGGTAAACTCCATCTCTAGACAGGCACTAGGCTTTCTGGAGAGAAATCAACAAAGCAATGACAATATCTGGAAGACATCATAAGAAACCCAGGTTTTGAGAACTCATCTTGGAGCTTCACAGCTAGGAACATCTAGATTCTTGTGATCTAGTATTTGTTTATTCTGTTTCTTTGAAATTGATGCCAAAAATCCAAATGGTTAAAATGTTCATAAATATTTCTCCTCGGCCGGGCACGGTGGCTCATGCCTGTAATCCCAGCACTTTGGGAGGCCAAGGCGGGTGGGTCACGAGGTCGAGAGATCAAGACCATCCTGGTCAACATGGTGAAACCCCGTCTCTACTAAAAATACAAAAAACTAGCTGGGCGTGGTGGCGCGTGCCTGTAATCTCAGCTACTTAGGAGGCTGAGGCAGGAGAATTGCCTGAGCCTAGGAGGCAGAGGTTGCGGTGAGCCGAGATCGCGCCATTGCACTCCAGCCTGGGTAACTAGAGCGAAACTCCGTCTCAAAAAAAAAAAAAAAAAAAATTTCTCCTCATTTGGACTTTTAGTCCATTTATAGATGCATTGTGCCTTTTAGAAGAAAAGGGATCATTTTCTGCATATCAGCCTCAGTATCTTAATTATTAAAAATTCCCACTTGGATTCCATTGGTACATTATAAATTGACTAAGCTTTCTGTTCTCCGGGTTTTGAGATTTGTATTGTATTTTAAAATTTGCCTCAAAACCTAAGGCAAAACCCAATATACCTAAGAGAAAGTTTCAGTTCGGAGTTTGATAAAAAGGCATTTTTGACAGATTGAACTATTGGTGGAAAGGATAACTTGAAAACAGAATACTTTTCCTTTATAGCATTGTTCCATTGTTTTTAAATACTGGATAAATATTTTAAAATTCTAACTTTAAAATGTATTTTTTTTTTAGATTTTGCATTTGCAAATAATGTAGACAAGTAAGTAATTTTATCTATACTTTTATTATTGTATTATTTCATAATTGTATTATCCCTTTAAATCATCTCTGTTTCCTAAAACACATTTTAATAAATTAAAAAAATGACTCACTCTTCAATAGATGAGAAACATTGCTAGGTCTTTCTGTGATAAATGAGTTCAAGCTCTGTATTCATATTTGACATATTTAGACTATTAATATTACTATGGAAATCCCAAATAAGTGAAAAGATAATTTGATGCTTAAAAAAAATAAAGCTTGATCAGGTGCAGTGGCTCACACCTGTAATCCCTGTACTTTGGGAGGCCAAAGTGGGTGGATCACCTCAGGTTAGGATTCTGAGACCAGACTGACCAACATGGTGAAAACCCTTCTCCACTAAAAATACAAAAAATTGGTCCGGCCCTGGTGGCAGGCACCTATAATCTCAGCTACTCCAGATGCTGAGGCAGGAGAATTGCTTGAACCTAGGAGGCAGATTTTGCAGTGAGCCTAGATTGCGCCACTGCACTCTAGCCTGGGTGACAGAGTGAGACTCTGTCTCAAAAAATAAAAATATAAAAAACAAACCTTAACTATTAGCTATTCTGAAAGTCAGGTTTTACATTCCTTATTTAGTTATTCTCTAAATATGTTCAGTCATAGTGACTATCATGTAGATTAACATTTTATACTCATTGGAATTTACATTTCCAAAAGCAAGCACCTCACTATGGAAGACTTTTCAAATTCAGGAATACTGATTATTTTAAAGTCATCATTTTTTTTATTTTTTAATTTAAGATGTTTTTCTCTAGATACAGTATTGAATATTATCTCTATGTACATTTATAAAATATGGCATAATATAAAAAATAACAGCAATACAATGAATTTAAGATAATAATACACATATATCAATAACTATTTTAACCATCCCTTTTAACTTGGTTTTAAAACATTACTACATGAGTATGTGAGACCTGAACGGTAATAGTTGATTCTCAAATATGTTCAGATACCTTATTTATAAAATAAACACTATATACTATAAAAAGTGCCACTTACCCTGAAAGTCATTTGTCAGTGGAGCCTGCAAATTATTGTTAGTGGTACAATACTGCAAATAACACAGAAAAACATAGCATTAATTCATTTAAATAAAAATTTTATTTTGGTCAAATTTTCATTTTTGATTGATTTTTTTCTGATATAATTGCTATTTTTGCAGAACTGTGTTTGATGACCCAGAAGATGCTGTTTTTGTGAGGTCCATGAAGAGATCAGTGATGACTTTTTCCTCTATGAACTGGGACACAGTTCCAACACGAGAGGAAAGATACCTTGAAGAGGAAGGCACAGAACCTGCTCAGATGCTCACAGTTACACTGAGATAAGCCCTGGTATTTCTAGAAATCTTAGTGGTTTTCAGTTTTTATTATTATTAAAGTTCCTTGTGACTTAGCATATTACATACTTACTACGATATTATTTGAGACATTTAAATGTAAACAGAAACACCAATGATGAAAAGTAATTCCTACATTTTAGGTTTTTAAATGTAAAGTTGTTGAAGTAAAAATGTAATTCCTAAGTGTTCAGCTCAAGCAATTTTCAAAAATTGAACATGTTTATGTAACTACCATTATAGATCAAGAAATAGAACATTATCAGGACTCTAAAAGTTCCCTCCTTCCTGTGTTAGTCACTACTCAGACTTCCAAAGTAATCACTGTCCTGATTTCTAGACAATAAATTAATCGGGGAGAGAGATCCAAGATGGCTGATCACTAACAGCTCGGGATTGTAGCTCCCACTGAAAGCGCAAAGAATGAGAGGACGCCACACCTTCACATGAATTCTTGTTGCTCACGCACCAGGAGATTCCCAGCGGAGGAGCCCCATGGGTCGCCAGCGCGACTCTTGTGACTGGCGAGGCGGTTTTGCCGGCGCCTTGGAGCGACGGTTCTTGGTGCAGAGTCGGAAAAGCACCATCAAACTTAACGCCGCTGATTTGGTCGGTGCAGTGGGTTGCTCAGATTTCGGCGCTGAGAATCAGTAAGTTGGACGTCCACTCAGAAACCTAATTACAAAGACTGTGAATTCAAAGACCACAGATGGATAAATTTATAACGAAGGGAGGAAAACGGCCAAAAAAGGCTGAGAATGCCCAAGATCAGAACGCCTCTCCCTCAGCAGGGGATCACAGTTCCTCATCAGCAACGGAACAAGGCTTGATGGAGAACGAGTGTGTTCCAATTACAGAAGCAGGCTTCAAAATGTGGATAATGAGAAACTTCTGTCAATTAAAAGAACTTGTTTTAACCCAATCTAAAGCAACTAAGAACTTTGAAAAAAGATTCGACGAAATGTTAACAAGAATACACAATTTAGAGAGGAATATAAGTGAATTGATGGAGCTGAAAAAACACAATAGGAGAACTTCGTGAAGTATGCACAAGTTTTAACAGCCGAATTGATCAAGCAGAAGAAAGGATATCAGAGGTCAAAGACCAACTCAATGAAATAAAACAAGAAGACAAGATTAGAGAAAAAAGGATAAAAAGGAACGAGCAAAGTCTCCAAGAAATATGGGACTATGTGAAAAGACCTAATCTATGCTTGATAGGTGTACCTGAATGTGACAAAGAGAATGAATCCAAGCTGGAAAATACGCTTCAGGACATTATTCAGGAAAATTTTCCCAGCCTAGTAAGGCAGGATAATATTCAACTCCAGGTAATACAGAGAACACCACAGAGATATTCCTCAAGAAGAGCAACTCCAAGGCACATAATCGTCAGATTCACCAGGGTTGAAATGAAGGAGAAAATACTAAGGGCAGCCAGAGAGAAAGGTCAGGTTACCCACAAAGGGAAGCCTATCAGACTTACAGCAGATCTCTCAGCAGAAACCCTACAAGCCAGAAGAGAGTGGGGACCAATATTCAACATTCTTAAAGAAAAGAACTTTCAACCCAGAATTTCACATCCAGCCAAACTAAGCTTCACAAGTGAAGTAAAAATAAAGTTTTTTGTGAATAAGCAAGCACTCAGAGATTTCATCACCACCAGGCCTGCTTTACAAGAGCTTCTGAAAGAACCACTACACATATGAAAGGAACAAACAGTATCAGCCTTTCTAAAAAAATTATCAAAAAGAGCATCAATATAATGAAGAATTTACATCAACTAATGGACAAAATAGCCAGCTAATGGCAGTATTAAACTCACATATATTATTATTCTAAATTTAAATTGACTAAATCCCCCAATCCAAAGACAGGCAATTTGAATAAAAAACTAAAACCCATCAGTATGCTGCATCCGGATCCATCTCACATTCAAGGATACACAAAGACTCCAAACAAGGGATGGAGAAAGATTTACCAACCAAACAGAGAGCTAAAATAAATAAATAAAAAGCAGAAGTTACAATTAAGCAACAAAGATCAAAAGAAGCAAAGAAGGACATTATATAATGATAAAAGGATCAATGCAACAACAAGAAGAGCTAAAGATCCTAAATACATACGTACCCAATACAGGAATACGCAGACATACAAGACTTATAAAGAGACTTAGACTCCCACATAATAATATTGGGAGACTTCAACATTAATATTAGATCAATGAGACAGAAAATTAACAACGATATTCAGGACTTGAACTCAGATCTGGAACAAGTAAATGTAATTAACATTTATAGAACTCTCCATTTTAAATATACAAAATATACACTCTTATCAGTACCACATCATATCAACTTAGAAGTTTAAAAGAAATCTTGGTTGGCTCCTTGTCTGCTATTCTCTTCCCTCATTTTCTTTCAGTCTCCATTATTAAGGACAATTATAGGCATACCCATATTTAGACTGCATTCTAGCCCAGGCAATAAAGCAATACCCCCATCCTCTCTCCCTCTTCCTCTTTCTCTTTCTTCCTCTTCTTTAAAAAATAAATAAATAAATAAAAATAAATAAATAAATAAATCATGTCTGATTTCAAAAGCCATATAAATGGCATCTTAGAATTAAATATTTTGTATCTGGCTTCCTTCACTTGACGTTGTAAGATTCATCCATGTCATTGCTAGTAGCAATGATTCTATCAGTCTTACTGCTGTATAGTATTTCATTGTAAGACTATGACACAGTTAACTTATCTAGTGTACTATTTTTTACTCTCATCTCTGGAGATATTTGCCAGTTCTGCCTAATGACCTGGGTTTGGTGTAGCCAGAAACTTGCTCCTCAGGGGAAAAAAACAAAAAATCCAATACTTTTAGCAGTTGCCTAGTACTGAGTGACAAAAGTGGACATTGAAGGTAACTCAAATTCATTACTGGTTTTCCCTGACTAAGGAGCTAGATAAAAAGCTTACAAAAGGCAGCGAGAGTGACATCTCCCTCTAGCTGATGGTGCTTGGGAAACACAGACACACTGTGGAAGTAGACTGGAATCAAAATAGGCAAGAGATGAAAACCTAGAAGGAATAGCGAATTGACCTTGAGAATCTACAGCCTTCATTCAACTGTGGGTACTTATAACATGCACAGCCAGAGACTAAAAATTCAGATATGGTCCCTGGAAAAAGTTTGCAGCTAGAGTAAAGAAAAAGCAAAAGTCTGACCATTCATGTGGGTGAGTGGCTGATATCATGACAAAAGTGGTTGTATGTGGCTTCCAGGATTAGGTGATAGAAAGAATTGAGACATTCTCTTGCCTGGGTTTGGGCCATAATCCAAAAGACATAGTCTCAAAAATGTAATTCTGGAAAAATAAATTTAAACAAAATTTAAAATACATTTATTTACATTTTAAAAAGGGATTTGTTTGAGAAACATATCTACAGAACATTTTATAGGCCCCTTTGTACAATAAAATAGGCAATAATGACATACACATTTTTACAAGCATAAGCACTCAGGTATACTAATGATGGTTGCACAGGTATAACAGTTATGAGTAGATAAACCATATTCACAAAGAAATAGGTCAAAAAGCAAAATGTATAAATGCCTATCACCATGGCTAGTAATTATGTGCACTCAGCTTTATCATGAAAGACAACCTATGTCTTTCATTGAGACTGTTCAAAAATGTCTCGAGATTTGTTTGAGAAATATTATATCTACAGAACACTGCCCAGGTTTGTGGCCTGCCCCACCTGATGCTAGACGGGACTGGGGGCTGCATGCTGGGACTCTGGCTGGCTCCCAGTAGGCCCGGCAGGCATGGAGCTGCGTGGCATAGTGTGGGTAGGGCCTGGTGAACAGTGGCATAAAGGGCCTGGTGGGTGGGCTCCTCCGCAGAAGGGTACTGGGGGTGGAGGAGGACACGATGGCCAGGGGATGGCTGCCCAGCATCAGCATTCGTGGGTTGCTCTGAAGCATGGGGGCAAACACCAGCTGTGAGGGGTAGTGGGCCATGGTCTGCATTATGGTAGGCTGGCCTAGGAACTGCTGTGGGTTGTAGGGGATGTAGGAAGAATAGGGCATGGCAGACACCAGAGGCAGGCCAGCAGCCACAGAGGCCTGCATCATTGGCATGGTTGAGGCTGGCTGGCATTGGCAAGGAGCCTTTTGCTTCCCAGTACTGTCCCTGCTGCCTAGGCACTGAATTGGATGCAGGATACGAATACATCTGGTGCTATATGGATCTGAGGTATGTAGGAGATGTACTAGGGGCTGTATAGGCTACTCTGACCTGCTGTCAGTACTGGGATGGAGGGAGTTGAATGAGTCTGGGGCCTTGGAGAAGCTGGGGTACTGATGGATTTATTCACAGACAGCAGAGGCTTTGTGGGATTGAACTCCTTCGCACTGGGGTTCCACGTTTATTTCTTTACTTGTTCAGCAACAGGGCCCTCATCCTTGTCCTCTCCCTTGATGAGGTCTACCAGGGGTGCTGCCGGCTGGGCTTGGGCAAGGTGGTGAGGTCTGCTCTGACCCCTCAGTGCCTTTTGCTGGTGTCAGAGGTGGTTTTTCCTCCTTATCTGATATAGACTCTTGTCTTGGAGGAGACAGGGGACCCCATTGTCTCTGAAGTCAACAGATCATCAGCATCCTTCTCCTTTCCTTTGGCCTCCTCCTTTAAGATCCCAGGAGGAAAAGGATCCAGGCTGTTGTCAGAGGAGCTGCTGGGCTGAAGCTTAAACTGGGCCCCAAACTTTCATTCTGAAGACCAAGGACTTTCTCAGCTATCCAAGCCAGCTCCTGCAGCTCCAGAGTTCTCCCAGGTTCCTTGGCAGAGATTTCTTTTACATCTGTGGGGTCCAGAGAAATCTTTGGAGAAGCTGGGGAAATGGAGCCCACTCCAGAATCTGAGGCTGATGAGGTCACAGGGAAAGAGGCTGAAGAGATTGGCACTGTTGAACCGATGGGAGGCTTGGAACAGGAAGCTGAGATTGGGGCAGGGGCAGCAGACTTGGGAGAATGTGGGGGATACATTAGGCCCACTGCAGGAGGAAGTGGAACAGAAGTTTCTCCAGAATGCCTATTATTGGGTGAAGACAAAGTCTCAGCACCTCTCAGAGGTTACTGTACTTTTGGGGACATGCAGGAAGGGCCTCCACTGATACCACAGGCCTCAGAACCTGGGCCAGGGCTGCTATTGTCCAGATGGGTGAGAGTGACGAAGTGGCAAAAAGCTAAGGACAGGCTGACTGCTCCAAGAGCTGCTGCATCAAACTCCTCCCTGGGGACCTTCCAGGACTCGTCAAGGCAGAGGGATATACATCTTCTCCCTGGATGCCAAGCTGGGGCTCTCTTGCCCAAGCCCTGCCGCTAGACCACACAGTGCTTCT